TTAAAAAGTCATTGTTGAGTCTCCCCATTTTTACAACGAATTCACGGGGATATATGTGGGCCAATTCATCCACCCTGTGGACTATTTCGTTATTTTATGGTCTTAATTGATGCCTCAACACGATGGTCATATGTTTGTCTGCTTTCTACTCGTAATGTTACATTTGCTAGACTTCTTGCTCAAATCATCAAATTACGGACATATTTTCCTAATTACCCAATTAAGACAATCCGTCTTGATAATGCCGCTGAATTTTCTTCTCAAGCTTTTGATGATTATTGCATGTCAGTTGGCATTAATGTTGAATATCCTGTTGCACACATTCATACTCAAAATGGTATGGTTGAATCTTTTATTAAAAGACTTCAGTTAATTGGTCGTCCTTTGCTTATGCGAACAAAATTACCTGTTTCTGCTTGGGTTCATGCCATATTACATGCTGCATCATTAATTCGTATACGACCAACTGCTTATCATAAGTATTCACCATTATAACTTGTTTTTGGTCAACAACCAAATATCTCTCACATACGAGTCTTTGGTTGTGCTATATATATTCCAATTGCACCATCCCAACGTACTAAAATGGGTCCTCAACGTAGACTTGGAATTTATATTGATTTTGATTCTCCATCTATTATTAGATATCTTGAACCCCTGACAGGTGATGTTTTTAAAGCATGATTTTCTGACTGTCATTTTGATGAAACTGTTTTCCCACCATTAGGGGGAAAAAAGGTATAACAGCAACGTGATATTACTTGGAATGCCTTAGAATTGTCTCCTTTTGATCCTTGCACAAATTAATGTGAACGAAAAGTTCAGAGGATCATTCACTTGCAAAATGTTGCAAATTAATTACCTGATGTATTTACTGATATAAAGAAAGTAACAAAATCACATATACCAACTTCAAATATTCTAGCACGAATTGCTGTCCTTGAGGGACCTTCTGTTAGTAATGTAGCAAATGCATCTAAAACACGCCTGAAGCATGGTAGACCAATCAGTGCAAAAGATACTGCTCCTCGTAAGAGGAAAATACAAAGAAAAATTGGCACTCCTGAAGAGGCTACAAAAGGAGCAACAGATATTATTGATCAATCTGAGATAATTGCCTTTGATAAGATAGAGGCTCTTAATGAGTCTCAGGTATCTAAAAATGATGAAATAATAAATAGTGATGAGGCAAAAGCAATATATGATGATATGGCCCCTGATGAGGCACATGCTCTTGATGAGACAAAGGTACCTAAAAATGATGAGATCTCACTAAATTATGAAACGAGATGGAATAGAAATGAAATTGTTATCGACAACATATTCTCATATCTCGTTGCTCTTGATATTTATAATGAGGATCCGGAACCTCAAAACGTCAAAGAATGTCGACGAAGAAATGATTGGCCAAAATGGAAAGAAGCAATACAATCAGAGCTAAATTCATTAGTTAAACATGAAGTATTTGGACCAGTAGTCCGGACACCTGAGGGTGTTAATCTTGTTGGGTATAAATGGGTGTTTGTACGAAAGCGTAATGAGAAAAATGAAATAGTGAGATACAAAGCCCGACTTGTAGCTCAAGGTTTCTCACAGAGACCTGGTATTGATTGTGAGGAAACATACTCCCCTGTGATTGATGCACCCAGATTTAGATTCATAATACATTTGGCAATAACAGAAAGATTGCATATGCATCTAATGGACGTGGTTACAATATATTTATATGGATCACTAGATAGTGATATTTATATGAAAATCCCAAAAGGATTTAAAATGTCTGAAACAAAAACCACGTAATATGTACTCGATAAAATTACAATGATCCTTATATGGATTGAAACAATCAGGACGAATGTGGTACAATCACTTTAGCGATTACTTACTCAAAGAAGAGTATGTGAACAATCATATTTGTCCATGCATTTTTATTAACAAATCAGAATTTGGTTTTGTTATTGTTGCAGTACATGTTGATGATTTGAATCTTATGGGAACATTGAATGAGATCAAAAAGACGGCTACTTATTTAAAGAAAGAATTCGAAATGAAGATCTCGGCAAGACAAAATTTTACCTTGGGCTGCAAGTTGAATATTTTTCGAGCGGTATTCTCATCCATCAATCAACATATATAGACAAGATTCTGAAACGTTTTCATATGGATAAAGCCTATCCATTGAGCTCCCCAATGGTTATCTGATCACTTGACATCAAGAAAGATCTTTTTCGTCCTCGGATGATGAAAAACTCCTTGGTCCTGAAGTGCCTTATCTTAGTGCGATTGGTGCTCTTTTGTATCTTTCAAATTGCACAAGACCTGATATAATTTTTTCAATCAATTTATTAGCACGACACAATTCTGCACCAACTCATAGACATTGGAATGGAATCAAACACATATTGCGATATCTTCGTAGCATAACTAATATGGGCTTGTTTTATTCGAAGGCACCAAATTCTCCATTAATTGGATATGCAGATGCCGGCAATTTCTCTGACCCACAAAAAGCCTATTCACAAATAGGATATGTGTTTACCTATGGCGGCACAGTTATATCATAGCGATCTATGAAACAGACAAAGATTGCCACTTCTTCAAATCATTATGAGATACTCGCAATTCATGAGGCAAGTATGGAATGCTTTTGGTTGAGATCAATGATCCAACATATTTGAACAACATGTGGTCTCTCGTTAATAAAAGATAGCCCAACAGTATTATATGAAGATAATGCGGAATGTATTGCACAGATGAAAGAAGGGTATATTAAAAGTGATAAGACCAAGCACATCTCACCAAAATTCTTTTATGCACATGAACTCCAGAAAAAGGGTGATATTAATATTCAGAAAATACGTTCATGTGAAAATCTAGCAGATCTATTTACTAAAACACTTCTAATTACAACATTCAAGAAGCTGGTGCACAACATTAGAATGCGTCAACTAAAGGATCTTCAGGGTTAAACTAATGAGGGGGAGCAATTGATTAAAGAGGTATTGGTATGCTGTACCCTTTTTCCTTCGTCCAGGTTTTGTCCCACTGGGTTTTCCTAGCAAGGTTTTAATAAGGCAGTTTTTAATCTATGCAATACTATTTTTCAGATACACAAGAATATTGTACTCTTTTCCCTTCGCTAGGGTTTTTGTCCCACTGGATTTTTGTTAACAAGGTTTTAACGAGGCATATTCTTAGTGTAGTATTGTGGACTCCAAGGGAAAGTGTTATATATATCTATATTAAGTGTGTGGGTCCCCAATTATATAAGTCATCCATGAGATCATCCATGAGGCTTATAAGGGAAGATACCAAAATGGCGTACATGGGAAGCTACACTGTGAGCATATAAGGCCTTGAATGTTTACTATTTTCTCATATCAAAATAGAAACTTTCATTCTCTCTGTCACTCTTTTCATTATATCTATCTCTCTTGTCAATTTCTTACATACTATTATGCTCTCTCTATAAATATACACACACATATATAATTTATTACAAGAATCTCGTAGAATCAGTTCTCCAAAGGAGAACATTAGTTCTATAAAAACTAAAAATGGGAACATTTGCTCCAACCTGAGAATTAAACTTGGGCGGGCTAACTCAGCTCCAACCCAAGCCTAATCCGAAAATTTGAAATTGGCCTTTAAGTTTACAAATCGGGTTCATGTTCGGGTTGGGTTCGAGCTCAACTCGAACCCAACCCAAAACCCAAAAAAAAAAAAAAATTTCATTTTTTTTCCTCCCCTCTCCTCTTCTTTCTCTCTCTCTCTTTCTACCGCCATTCCCATACATTCAAGTTAGCAGTTGCAGAGAGAGAGAGGGGGGGGGGGGGGGGAAGCTTGAGAGTTGAGAGACAGCAGCTGAAGCTTGCGAACGGCAAACCCAAACTGGAACAGCGGGCGATGGAAACTGAAAGATTTGGGTTTTGATTTTTGATTCTTGCAGTTGAACTTTTGATTCTTGAAGATCTGGGTTTTGATTCTTGCAGCTGGCGATATAGGTTTTGATTCTTGCAGTTGGGTTTTGATTCTTGCAGATCAGGGTTTTGATTCTTGCAGCGGGCGATATGGGCGTCTATTTCTCTCTTTTCACACACACACACACACACACACATATATCTAGTTCTATATATTCTTTGTATGAATATATGTGTATGTGTATGTGTTTGTACATATATGGTTTGATTGGAGCAGTTCTTTGAAGAAATAGGAAATTTAGCCCTGGTTCTCCCTCCCTCTCTTTATTCTACACAGATTTATATATTCTTTCATAAATATAAATATAAATATATATATATATATATATATATATATATATATATATATATATGTATGTATCTCTTAACTCCTAAGTCATAAATACGATTTGATCAGAAAAGTTTTCAGGAGAAGTCAAATCCATTGGAAATTTAGGCCTGGTTCTTCTCCTTCTTTGTCTCTTTACACAAAAATTTGTATATTCATGTGTATATAAATATACGTGTGCGCGCCAATGTGTTTGTATATATCTTCTTTACTCTTTAGTTCTGCACGCATGTTGAAAATTTAAGGCAATTCTTTAATTCAATGGACAATGCGGAAACTTGGCCCTGGTTCTTCCTCTCTTTCTCTCTACACAGATTTATGTATTGTTGTGTGTGTATATCTCTCTCTGTGTGTCAGTGTGTTTGTAGTTTACAATTGTGTGTCAGAGAGAATAGAGATGGAGGCGATACGGGGGGCTAAAATGATTTGCCCTAAATAAAATATATAATATATATATATATATATAATTTGTTTTTTTAATAATAAAATATATAATATATATATAAGTTTTCCATTTTTTTTTTCTTTTAAAAAAAACTCAACCCGCCCAAAAATATTTGGACTGAATTATGAGTCTAACTCATGTTAGGTACAATTCGGGTTAATTCAACCCACTCGGGTGGAGGTCGGGTTGGGATTGGAGCCCAACTTGCGGACCTTAGTACAATTCATTTGAATCTCTCTCTCTCTCTCTCTCTCTCTCTCAAGTCTCAACCCTCTCATCACATTTCTCAGACTCTCTCTCATACTCAAAGCATTGGATAACCAGTTTCTTGAAATTGCGAAGGTGTTCCGAGGCGTATCGAAACCCTCACTTCCGAAGACTGCTCGATTCGTATTGATTGCCACAGTCGTCGTGTTTCATGTGTTCATCGCCCTCTTTTCCGTCGTCTCCCCGAACCCTAACAAGAAAGCAATCTACTATGTGCCTAGGGCTGCTTTGATGCTATTTGGTGGCTCAGGTGCAACAATCGTGTGTGTCATGGCTTACACGAAGCTTCTCAGGTGCCTCAATGAATGGCATTGGATCCTCACATCTCTGGCGGTGGTAGTGTATGAACTTCGATCTACTGTTCAACTACCAAACATCACTCATCTTCCATGACCTTCTCTGTTCCTTCACCACGCTCTTCATCACCTACTACGTTCTCCTCATCCATGGCCCTGATAGGTCTCATCTCTGAATAGTAATATTCAGCATTTTCGGAAGTGCTTTGGTAGATTCACTTTTTGAGGAAGCCAATGAGCGTGTAGTGAAGTTCTTGGCCTATTTGGTGGTTTCCGTTGCTGGATTTCTTTCTAAGGTGTGTATAATACGGGATAAAATTGCAAATTCTGTCATTTAATTAATTAATTTTGTTTTTTTTTTTTTCCCTGATAGATTTTCCTGGATAAGTTCTTCGGAGTTCAGAAAGCAACTGGGAGGGTGAAGCCTGTGAAGGAGATTGTTAACAATGACGCCGGCGAGGTTTGACGGCACCTTACTTGGTAATGGTTTTATTGCAATTCTGTACTATACTACAGTTATTATACTTCCTACCAAGTTAATATTTTCCATATATGAATTGGAACTTGCAATGAAAGAAGAATATAATTTGTGTCCAACATTTTTGTTTGCAGTTAGAGGAAGCACTTGCACTGATTTCTGGGGTCCAGCATTTGTAGAGTAACTTGCATCATGTCTTATGATTTGCAGTGGTGAGTGGTGACCCATAAGTACCATTTTTTTAGTAAATGTGTTATTGGGTCTTTATGTGTAACTTCAGACAGATTCTGATGTATTTAATAGTCAGTGAATCGAGTTACCCAATTAAAACTCTTATCCATCTACATAGCAACCTAAATCCTTCCGTGCTGTAATATTTTTCCCCAAAAGATATTCATAACTCGGTCACAGCATAATCAATTTTAAGGTAGTAGGGGTTTGTTTATGTGCTTGTCCAAAATCACCTTCTTATCAAATCAAGATGAGTAGTAGTCTCAGGATCTTACTTTGTTTAGCAGATATGCATTGTAGCATGCCCATTGTTTATTATATATGATGCGCAACATTACAAAGCAAGAATTGTCATTAAAGTAAAAGGAGAATTGAATATTTTCTTTTGGTAGGTAAATTGAAAATTTATTACTGAAAACTGATAAAAGAATAAAAAGATTAGTCAAGCTTGGCCTGTGGGTAGACATCTCCTCAATGATAACAAAATGCTCACAACCTGATTGGATAAGCAAGAAGAAACATAAGCCTCTCACATCTGGATATAATTGGTAGAACAATCATGTCATTGCACTAACCAGACTTCCTTCTTTGTCTAATCCAGTAGGAGGTATCCTCTTATTATTAGAAGATTTAGTACATAGACAAGGAAGATGCAATATTTGAGGCACTAGGGCTTGTATTTGACTTTTTAAGAATGGCACTTAGAGGCTTTTCCCTCCTTTGATTGACCTTGGCAGCCAAATAAGAGCTTCAAACATGTTATCGTACATCTGAGTATCACGAATTTTGCCCAAAGGCTTTTCCCCTTTATCCATAGTGCCATGTTTGCTTCTTGGATTAGATGCATTATCTTCCTCTTCACTTTAGATTTCTGAATCAATCCAGAGTAGGTGGGATAGGATCATAGGAGAGATCCATTATGACCCATTCTTGAATTCCAGCTGGCATTTCTGTCAATCTGCAGAAGACACACACATACTGGAAATAGCGGAGGGAACAAGGGAATTGGCCCTCGGATTCTTTGTTTTTACAACCTAGTTCCAATTTTCAATACTTCTTGGGATCAATCTTTGGTTGCTCCACCTCTCTCGAATCTTGAGTGACAAAGTTTAGAATAAATTTAATAAGTATAATAGAAATGTGCTCAAAAGCTGCATGATGGTTGCTTTCTATTGGGACTCCACACTTCATTAATACACAGACAAAAAAAATATACATTACATTTGCATTCATTCATTCATATTGTTTGGTTTTCTAGTGTTTGTTGGCTAATTTCAGAAACCAAAACCAATATCTAGTTGTAATTTTCTTTTGTGTCCTATTCAAGTTCTTAAAGACAACATGATAATGTGTTGGTCATGATTTTTTTTTCGTTGAAGTTAACACACACTTAGGAACAGGTAAATTGAGTGTTTGTGAGGACACTTGCTCTTTTAAAAGTCAAATTATAATTTAGAAGTGCTTTTAGAAATGGTTGGAAAAATGTTTTAAAAGGCTTTTAGAAATGTTTGAAATTTAAAAGGTCTCTTATGTGTTTTAAACTAGAAGTTGGATCTGTCGTTTGACTTGTGCACTGATTGTTGAGGAGGCTTCTGTCTTGGTTCAGAATAGTATGCACTGGTTAAAGTGCTCCAGAGAGCACAAGCATTGATTGATAGAACAACATGTACCAATCCATCTTTTCCCTGTTTGATCTCAGATTCTTCAATTTAATCTTGTAAGCATTTAAATTAAATGTGTTTTTGATACAAAAGGATTTTAACTGAAGTTTCTAAAATTGAAAAACAAAAATGTATTTAACCTATAAAACCTTTTCTGTGATAATTTACCTGGAAAAAACCTTTTCTATGATTATGTTTGAGACACACAACTTCCAGAGAAAGATTTGGGGGAATTTTCTATTTTTTCATTAAGCTTTTGCCCACGCTTTTATGCAAGAGTATTAGTTATGTGTGCTCTTGATCGTCAATTCAAAGGCTACACTGAGCTGTTGATTATTCAATCAATTCTTTGCACGTGCTAGTGGAAGAGCTGAGACGATTGGCAACTACGAGAAGTAAATTATGTGAGGTAATTGCATTTATGTGGATTGTGTTTAGTAATTCCCACCCAATGCACTGCTATTAGAGAGCACTAAGTGTGGGAGGTAAATTAATATTTAATAGTAGGTGATTCTGAAGTTACCAGAATAGGTGACTCGTGGACAGGAGTGGCAAAATTTGACACTACTCATCAACACTACTTGAACTCTACACAAAATTAGTGGGTTTGGATTTACCTCAATTGTGTCAACCCGATTAACTTGTTTAATTAGTTGTCATGTTCGGGTTTGGGAGCTCAACCTATATAAGTCCCATATAACCCAATTTGATCCCTCTAAATAATTGTATTAGGTCATCTAGAAATGACCTGCGTTATGTTTCAACTTTTATAATAGGTACTATACTTAAAACAGTATGGTACTAGTGCAACTCTTAGTTAATTGTGTGATTTATATAGGTAAAAATAAAAAAAATTAGTCATTCTATAACTGTTAATTAATTATATAAATATATATTTTTGTTTATATTTGCGTTTTGTAATTTAGGAAAAAATAGTCAATAGACTGTTAAACGGGCTGTGTTACAGTTTATACAACCCAATCATTAAACAGGTATCCAAAATGTGTTGTGTTAGTGGGTGTTTGACCCATTTAATAAACAGGTTGTTTTTGGATTGATCCATATACCAAAATACTCTTATTTCAACACGACACAAGTATGACCTGTTAACACAAACCGCAAGGTCTGCTACCCCTACTAGAGAGTAGTTGCGAAGGCATTGGAATTCGTTGTAGTGTCTTGGACGGCATAGTTTCCTTGGTTTTTTCGTTTCTAAGATTTTCCAAGTGAAAAATCGACATGTATCTTCTTCTCTCATACTCTTTCATTTGTCTGAATTGTCCAGAAGTCTTAGTTTTAGCACCAAAAAACTGAACTTGGAACTCATAGACTCACTAGGCGCACAATAACCGTATCCTGGGGCAATTTTAGCTTGACTCTCTAACCTTTCCTTTGCAAAGGATCACAGATCCAACAGATAAATCAAGACTGTGAGCGCCTAATGTGTAGTTAGTTTTCTTTATCACCTGTACTATAAAGAACAACTTATCAAAAAAAAAAAAAAAAACCCCTTTACTATAAAGAACTCGTGCTCCCTTCACTTGTAGTTTTAGGTGTGCTTATTGAATACCAAATCTGCTCAGCAATCATATAACATGCATCCAAGTTTATATGATTTGAGGGGGTTGGCGTTCTTCTGGATTCCTTCTCTATTTTTTTCTTTAATGTAAATTTGAAAGTGATAGAAGTTGACCCAATATCAACTAATTATTTTCATTGTATAGGTAGAGATTAAGAATAAAGAATGAACATTGTATTCCAAGGTTGTTCAGTGGAATATGCTCTTCAAGTTAGGATAGATTTCTAATAAGTCTTTGACATTGTTTGAGCACAGGTTATGTTGTCTGTATCTTTAAAATTCACTTTAAGTTACCTCCTCCATAGTGTATGTATCTTCCTTTTAAATTAGTTCATTTTTTTATTAGAAAATGGTCTTAGAAAAGAGAGAATGAGTTCTTCCTGACACTAACCAAATCGAGAGAAGATAATATAGCATGGGGGTCCCAAATAGTCGGATTTCAGTATGAGACTGTAGCTGCGTCTTCCCTTTCCGCCTCTGCTGCTCTTTCACTAGCCCCAACATATTGGTCACTTCCGTGACAACTCCTGCAAATCAAAGCTTTTGCCGCTTGTAAGAAAAAGTTTTCCATACATGCATTCATGCTTAGAAGGTGAAATTAAGCACACTTTGAAATTGAGAATGAATTAATGATTCTTTGCGAGGGACTTCTTCCAATCCCATAGGTTCTATCAATCATGTATCACTAAGGAGAGCACCCATCTGACTTCGATTGACCGTGCTGAAAAGAAGCACTAAAGCTATTGATTGATTGGCAAATAAATAAACAGACTATTTCTTTCTTATGAAGTCAGTGAGCCCGCTCTTGTTCACACAATAGCACAAGCATATCAATATACGTGAATAGTAGGATGACTCTTATCTGATCCATTAGATTTGTGGGTATTAGTTTCCAAACAATGTAGACATTTTCAGATGTTTGACCTCTTTCCTTGAATTTCCCTGAGTTTTTCGGATTGGTAAAGAAGAAAAAAGGGAAACATGGTCTGAGGATAGGATAAAATATTATTCTTGCTTCAAAGCTGTGCTCTTGATATATAATTCAATTATTTGTTATATATTAGTGTTTCCTTTGAACTTTGGAAATGGCTCATCTCTATGAGACTACAATGTGTAGGAACTCTTGAGGCGTGACAGCAACAAAAGTTCGGGTAATGCCTGGTTCATGTTTGTCATCATTGTCGAGATAAACATGAATTGTAGAGTAGGGTGGTCCAACATTCAGTTCAAATTTATTTGAATTCCTTGCACCTAAAAGGCTTATCAAAAAAAAAAAAAAAAAAATTCCTTGCACCTAAAAAGGCACAAATTAATTGATTTAAGGCTACCAATTATGCAAGTCAAAGTATGATTGGTTTCAAGGAGTTATTAGTGGTTTTGCCAAGCCAGAGATTATGGTGTGATAATCTAGATTAGGAGAATAGAAAGATTATCCTTGTCTTTGTTTGTGTCTCGGGTTGGATTAAATTACTATAATTCGTCCCCCCCTACGAATTTGTTGACATTTTTTATTGCCCAAAAGCGGGAATACTGAAGCTCTGTGAAAGTCAAATATATACTCATAGTTTTCTCTGTTCCCAAAAAGATTGAAGTATGCTGTAAATCCATCTGGCCCCAGGGCCTTCTCATCCTTCATGGAGAAAAGGGCACCCTTGATTTCCTCTTCTGTAGTAGAGATTCTGACTGATTTTCAACCTTGCGTTAGCTGTTTTTACAGGGGAGATAGATTTCAAGGTCAGACAGTTGATCGAGCCTAAGAGTCAGTAAGCCAACTTGGGAATCCGAACCCATTGTCACTATTCAACCGACAAAACATAGGAATTAGTGAGTGCTAAAAAAATGGACTTTTCTTTCTAAGTGAAGGACAGGAGAAAGAATCGTGCATCTATCTCGAGTTGCTCCCTTGACCCAAAAGGAAAGGAACCAAGTAACTGGGCCCATCAATAATCCACCAATAGCCCTATAACGGATTGAGTTATATAGCGCCACCAGGTTTGGAACCCACTCTTTAGAAGTTCATATGCTAGCAGTGTTAGGAGTCCCCTTTTGACCAAAACTTTGAAAACCTCATGTATACCGCTTCTGGGAGCATTTTTGCTTTTCAGACAGGAGTTTGATACCTTGACTTCGGTTGATGTATTTCGTGTTCTTCTGCTAGATTTCCTTCTTCGTTTGCGTGGATGACTGGTTGAAATTCTCTCTCTTGAAGGGGCTAGAATTGCTATGCCCAGAATCTTGACAGTGGGAGCTTCTAAATGAATGTTTCCCCCTCTCTTCTTTCTGAAAACTACTTAATCTTTTACGTATAAGAATTGGAACTTCCAATGAAGAAGAATATAAGTTGTGTCCAACATTTTTGTTTGCGGTTAGAAGTAGCACTTGCACTGATTTTTGGAGTTCAGTATTTGTAGAAAACTTGCATCATGTTTTATAGAATTGCAGGGCCTTTTCTTTTTAATGTTTTTGGTTTGATAAGTTCTTACTGGCAGAATCATAGCATAACCAAGTAGTAGGAACAAATTGAAACAAAGTACTCCCTCCATCCCAAAATTCCTGTCCATCTTTCTATTTTGGGATGTCCCAAAATACATGTCCCATTCCAAAAATAGATGTACTATTTTTTATAACATTCCCAAACTATCCTTTTGACATTGACTTGATTAAACAAGTGCCGTAATTACGGAGTACTCTTTTTTCTTTTAGCAAGGATAAATTTGGAATTTACTCTTATCAATTCAATAAAAAAATATTATAACCCCACTATCATAAAAAGTTGGATTCCCCAAACACACCAAGAATTTTTGGACAGAGGGAGTAGTTTTTATTATGATTAGTAACTACTTGTCAAGCTACTAGAATCTAGCACGAGATTGATGCTTGAAGTTATGGCGCATATATTTTCAGTCTGTCTTGTCTCCTGAGTTCACACACTTGATGTTATAGCTGAAGATGGGATAAGTCACATTTTAACAATCTTAAACCTGCATTTGGGAGTTGTCATAATAATCAGTGTGCGCCCTGTTATGCTTGTCATTTTTGTGTAATTTTTGGGAGCCGGGATGGGCTGGTTGCTTGTTGGTCTTGTGATTTGTTTTCTTTTAATGATTGGGTCTCTTATGAGGGCAGTGGTTATTCAGATATCAAGATCTCTTGCTCCTGCTTTGTTGGGTTTCTGACAGCTCTGGTTTTTGTATTTTTGTTTCTTGTATGTGGGTTTTGGCAATGTTTGTTGAGTCTTGTTGTTTTGGTGGTGGTTGAGAAGAGTGGTTTGTTTCGTAGTAGTTCTTTGAGGGTGGTCCCTCTTGTTCTCTATTGGAGTTTGTTGTATTAATAAAATGTGATTCAGAATTGAAAAAAAGAAAGAGTAGGCGGTCTTAGGAAACATGCTTATGCTAGAATCTGTAATTTAGGTTCATCAATTAATGGTGGGAGCCTGCTGCACCTGCACCTTATTGTAGAACTATTAGAGCTGTCATGTGGTTCATTAGTTCTACCCCGACTTCAAAACAAGATAATAACTGTTATATGTTTTCAAATGTTCCCCTTCAACGCATTCTACAGAGTATCAATGAGGATTTGGGTACTAATAAGTCTATAATGTAGGGTGAATAGGGTTTCTTGATGGAGTCCTGATATTTAAACTACAACCAAAGGGAGGAGGGGATGAGGAAAATTGAGGGCCTCTTAGAGCTCTTTACCCTCAGAGCTGAGGGGATCAATGTCCATAATCTATTATTTGAATTTGTCAAATCTGGAACTAAGATGTGAGTTAATGCAGTTTGCATCTACCTCAAAGGTATTCAGGTCATTAATGACTCCATCAGGTTTTAGCATCCGTTCAGGGACAATGCTCTTGCTAGCTTTTAAGCAAATCATTGGAATATTAGTATGGCTGTTATTCTTGTTATGTGTGCGCTGCACTGATGATATTCTTTCGATATTCTTATGTGCAAATGATATTTTTTTTCAATTATTATGTGCTACAGTTATTGATTTCATTGTATCTCGAATCTTTGCAGGGGCATTTACTGGACATTCTACTGGTTAGAGGGGCCATTCTAAGAGTTGATACTTCATCACTGTAATAATTAGAAACTAAACTTGTAGGCCAATGTTTAATTACTATAATAGTTATAAACGAAACTTGTAGGCATTCTACTGGGCAACTTGAACTGTTTCCTGCATTGCTTTTTTTGGCAACTGTTATTCGGTGCGTTAGAATGATCAGTCTGTGAATATGACCTAGCACAAAAGTAGTTTCTGCAGATGGTGTATATACTGATGCTATTTGCTTTGTTGATACTGTTACTTCAGGTTCAGGTTCTATATGCTAAAATGCTATTCTTGTATGTTTGTTGTAGAATGTTGTCATGTTATTGTTGGTAGTAGAGCGATTTGTGGTGTTTGGTTGTATTTCTAACCCTATTTTGGTTTCTTTGTGTTTGGTCGGTTTAATTGTGGGATTTGGGAAATTCGGAGATTGTGACTTGGTCTTGTGCTGCATTTAGATTGGTTTTGCAACACGGTATGATGTTGCATATGCGATGTTTGTTAAGCGATGTAGGCACGGAATGATGCGTGGTCCGGTGCTAATTAGTATGTTTTGTTCCTTGGGGAATGACCCGAGTATAATCTTTTAAGGCATTCGTGTTTGAATGCAATGATATTGCCTTGTCATCCGAGTTCTCTCGTGATAATTATATGTTGGATGGCAATGGGGGCACCTAAAGATTGGTCAATTTGATTTCAAAATTTTGGGATTTACAAATTTGAGTTGATTACGTTGATAGCCACGGTTGCCTTCCACATTAAGAAATCGGTCAGAGTAATCGGTTCAACTATCATTTTCAATAGTTTATATTGTTCTGGCGACTCGAAGAATTCATCTTGATTCATTTAGTAATGTCATGGATTATGTAGCTGGTTTTTAAATAAAAAGTTCTTACATGTCTTGGCTATATTAACATGATAAATGCTGCTTTCTTTTTGTCCCTGTATTTAGTATACTTCATGTACCAAAATAAGAAGATAAAACAAAGTTACTCTGCTTTTTAAGTTAATTTCCTGAACTCATCTTGTAAATTTAATGCCAATTTCAAGCGAATAAACAATTTCAAACAAAATTCTGGACTATAACTTTAGGATCGTGGACATAATGAGAGTATGAAAAATGAAATTTGAGGCAAAACATATTTAACTTTTAAGTGCTGGAAAAACCTCGAATTTTATGAGCTCTTAAAATGTCCACTTTTTACCCAATCTCAAATGTTTGGAATTTTAGTGGAAAATGTTTAAAATTGTTATAATTTGCAAACAAACACTAAAAAATACAACAAATTATTTGTCTGAAATCATTTCAAATCAAAATACCCAGAGAGAAAATTTTCTTTTATTTTTTATATAAAAAGCAGATTTCTTAAACTTATTGCACGCTTTGGGAAGAAATAAATTAAAACGAGTTAACGAATTTACAAAGAATTCAATTTCCCAACGAATTTGCAAGACGAATGTGTGTGAGACAATATATTTGAAATACTTATGGCACTTAGGCTCCGTTTGTTTGAGCATAATTTTTTTTTTTTGTACTTTTCGGTGTTTGGTAGTCCCAAATTCAAAGAAAATATTTTACGAAAAAAAATAATTTTCCAAAACTTAACCAAAACAACTTACGTACCAATTAAACTTCAAAAGTTGATTAAAATAACAACAAAAAACCACCGCCAAAAACCATCACCAACAACTAATCTACTACTACTATTACGTTTTTAATCATCACTGACTACAACAATAATCGTCAAAGTTTACAAGCAGTAACTAGTCATAATAGAAATTACTATATTTCAATTTGTTGCCACTATTTGGTTAATACTATAGTTCTGTCAATAATTACTTATCAATCAAATGGCCAATAATCTAGCTGATACAGACTCACTTTTTCAAAGGGGAAGTCGGGAGTTCAGGTTTTAATGGAGGCATGAATTTGTGAATTTGCTTAACCTTCTAAAAAATTATCAAACCAATATTTTATAGTTTGACTGTAAATTTTGTTTTACTTGAAAAATATTGAGAATTTTTTTTTTTAATGAAATTTAATGGAATTTGGAGAGTAAAAGTGATAATTAAGAAAAAATTAAGACATAATTGTAACAAATGAAAATTTCAGGGAGACTTTATGTAAAATTTATACTGTAATTTTTTCATATTAGTTCCAATACTCTAGAACTTCAAACTTTAACGACTCGTGTTAAAAAGATGAAAGGTTGGTAAAGGGATTTCTATGTACAATTGTTGTTGTAATAATAATAATTTTGTACTTATTCATATTTATATTTATACTACTATTAAATTTACATAATATTTTTTTTTTACATTACTTTCTTAATAATATTATTTGTTTAAACAAATATTTAGAGATCACATTTCTAACTCTTAAAGAATAAGTGAACTGACAACTTTGCATGACTTTAGTATGGCACGAGTATTATTTTCCTATTATTTTCAGAAGTTTGCACTACCTTAGGTGATCGATAAGCTAAGTGTTGATGACTCTCTACAACATCTGTATGTAAAGTAGGGTAGAGTTTTAATGTCTTCTATACCGATTGTAGAGCATTTAGAGAGTTAAAGAGACGTAGAAAGTTGGAGAATTTGCAGAAATTTGTAAAATTTAAGATGTTTTTAGACGATCAGCGAGTATGTAGAGTTTGTAAATATCTAGAATATTTATGTGCTGCAGCGTAGTAAAAAATTTTCTTCTATAGGGATAATCTTTAATAGCAATAACATATATATATATATATATATATATATATATATATTGCTATTTTAAAATTGAGTTTATTTAATTAAATATAGTAAAAAAATTCATATTCAATGAATCAAGAATACGATGTTAAAAAAAAAATAATGCAGTTATCTAAATATTCTAATATATCACATATGTGAAAAAAATAAAAACACAAACTAAAATTTACAAGAACAACAAACTCTAAAATAATTTTGATAGTAATAACTAATAATTTTTTTAATTAAAATTATGATATCAAATAAAAATAAATTTAGATGATAAAAAAAAAATATATAAGACCATCTGTCTGCGTAAGACTAATTGAGTCTATCTACTAGTAAATGGTTGTTCGGCTTGTTTTGTTTGGATTGTGAAAAATGTTGAAGATGAATATGTGATGGAAATAATCGGTTTGTTTGTGATAAAGACAAAAAGTGTGGTAGAATATCTTGATAAGATGTTTTTTATTTATTTATAGAAAGTGGTAAAGAATATAATATTTTTATATTATATTTTCTAAGAAAGTATAAGTTAATAGATATATTATATATATTTACAATTGTGTCACGATTATATTCCTCCCGTGAATAAGCTTTTGATTATATATATATATGTGTGTGTGTGCACTGTTAAATTTTAGAGGGGATAACATTACAAATATAAAAATCTTTCTATATAAAATTTAAAAAAATTAAGAATTAAGTGGGAGTAGTTGCCCCCTCTTGTCCCCTGCGGCTATGCCACTGTTTCCGTGGAGTTTTTAAGAAAGTAGATCTTAAAACATAATGCAGTGTAACAGTTAATTAAAAAAAAAAAAAAAAACCTATAAATAGGTGTGGGCGTCATTTGTAGTAAATAAGCTACCTGAGAGAGGTTGGAAGAGCTGGAATAAAGACAGATAGAGTATAGTAAGAATATGAGTGTGTGGAGACCTATAAACCAATTAACGTTAGAATGGAGACCTATAAACCAATTAATGTTAGAATGGAAAGAAATTAGAGATGATTAGAATTGAAAGAAATTAGAGATGAGATAGAGTATTTCAACCTACAGTGTATCCATAAACTCTGGTGAAGGGCAATATTTGAAACTATGTCTTCTAATCCTCCCTTGATGTATGATTTTACAAGTGAAGAATACGAAAAATAAAATAGTTTTGAATATGTTTTTTCCCATAATTTGATTCCTATTTTCCTAACTCAAATTTCTATTTATTTCACGGACAAAATGAAATTTCATTTCAAATGTAATCCAATTTCTATGGTTCCAAACTGTTGGCCAAGGCGGTGAAGAATCTCATAACCGATGAGAATAATGATAACTTTCATTGTATTTTGAAAATATTACAACGACCCATAATTGAATCAGGGATAAACATAAGTTAGACAGAAGAGTAGTTGTATTGTTCATTACATAATTACGATAATAATCATGCTACCAGTACCTAAGAAGCATTAACAATAATTAACAGACATGCTAAAACCATCTTCTTCCTCCTCTTTAGGAGTACAGGAAAACCAGGATTCAGAATTGGTAAAAAATACTGAATTAGTGGAATGGACCAATGTTCAAAATAAATTGAACAGATGGACTATCCCTCCAGTAAGTGCTAAGAGCATTTACAAAATCGGAATGCTTAATCTGACTGATCTATGGACTGTCAAGACCATGGAACAGACTATGCAATTAAGCACCCAAGACACAATAATTAGATTGTTGTCTTCTCGTGACCTTGAAAGGCACATGCACAAATATAAGTACATCCATATAGGTTTAATTCAAATTGCTTTTAAACCTTTAACCTTGCTAGGTATGGATGCTTGTATTCAAGCAACCCTTAGGGATGCTCGATGTCTGAAATTTCACCCTTCTTTGATGGGTGCATTGGAAACTAGTCTATGTCATGGACCGGTTTATTTTAATGTCTATCCTAGTCTGAACTTATCTTTAACAGATAAAAACATCCTTGAGGCAGTTAGTCTTTGTGTTCAGACCTATGGGTATGATTATTTACCTGGATCGGAAGTGATAAGTGTTATTTATCGCATTCATTACAAAGTACTTGATACTATGTGTCCAAATGCCATACGCAAAGACTCTCAAGGAGTAACAGCGTTATGGGACACCAATATATTCACATCAAATGTTGCCACAAAAAGGATGATTCCTTGGAGTGAAATAACATTTCCTGAACATTGGACAATTTCTAATGCAGTTCCGGCAAAGCCAATTGCTAATCATAGCTTGGACTGTGTTATTCAGGACCAGGATGGTGATTTTTTTTCTGAATTTCAGAAAATCATTAGATCTACCCAGATCTACATCATCTAAAGGAAGTCATTTTCCTTATCATGTTTCTTGTCCTCCTTCTCGCCATTCGATCTCGTCGGATTATAGAAAGGAAGATCTCCCTCCTGCAGTAGTTGGTTCCAATCACCTCAAGCTGAAAGGAATACAGTAATCTCAGAATCAAATTCCAAGAGGAGTCTACGAGAAAGCACCAATAGGTATGTCTCATCGCCAATTTGGAATTGAATTCAGCCCAACTCCATCCAAAATGGG